ATTGTCCAGCTTTTGAAAGACTGAGGATGAAACAGCATACCCTGTCTCTTATACACATCTAGATGTGTATAAGAGACAGGGTCCGTGTAAAATATTGGGTAGTCGCAAAAATCTTTTCATGTTTTGTCAATAGATGTCGTTGCAGTCATATGCTTCCAATCACATTGTTTAAGCAAAAAAATTAAATTCGGGAAAGTTAAAAAAGGTTTCATTCGAGATTTTTGTATAAAAAAGGGAAGAATACCATGCAAGCCACCAATTACAAGTTTACGGAAGCGATGCTGTATCAGTTCGGGGAGCACAATAATAGTTCGCTCGCTTCCATTCTGGAAAATTCGAAATTAAGATTTACACGGATGGATAATGTCTCCAGCGGAAAAATGGCAAAAAGTGTTCACCAAAATTGTGCATATTTGTTTCTTTATTTATTATTATAAATATAAAAAAAGTTAAAATTTGATTAGAAATACGAAAATACTTTTTTTTTGACTACCCAATATTTCGTGTGCATGTGTGGATACTTATTATTTGTATTGGTACTGTGGTGACAATCCAAAGTGAATGTTGTATCATTAAAAGTTCTTAGTTGGATATAAATCCAGATTATAATGATATTATTGTTGTAAATGCCGATCCATTCAATAGAAAAAACAAATTTGTTTATTTGTTTGAATTGTCATTCACGAATACTCTGATTAATTTTTCTATAATCCCCCACTTTCAATTTTCAGATATTGCGGCTGGTACTTTATCGCCCTTAGATTCATTTTTGGATCTTCTCACCGCCAAGGCAAGCCTAAATGAGTTGAACTATAATTTGYTAATAGAAACCACGATCTCATCCATGGAGAGGATTAATCAGAAATCATAAGCTATACTTTGCATTTAATGTAACACATTACAGCGTTAGGAAAGTGTTCGGGGCTGTGCCATAAAAATACCCTTAGCAGCTAAACTCGAGGCTTTAAATTAAGATATATTAGTTATCGAGTTGTTTAATTGACATTTAKTTTTATTGCTTTATTTTTGTTGCTGCTGGCTTAAGAACTACTCGTAATCGAGAGAACTATTCCAAAARGGAATTTAAAACTTTTAAATAAATTATATAAGGCCAAAGTATATTTATAATTAATAACATGTACACATATATATAACTAGGAGATCCGGCCACGCGTTGCTATGTTATACTTTTTATACTATTATTCATATAATARACTATTCAATACAGCGACAAGTTTATTTAGGAATAAAAGCGAAAACATTTTTGTCGGTTTAGGAATCCAAGGGACTGTACTTTAAGTTTAAGTCTGAATATGTTCATACWAATAAATTTGATTGGAAAAAATAACGAATTTAAAGCTGCTTTCTCATTGTCTGGTTACCAGATTTCCTGTCGAGTTAATGGAGATGTCCGCTTAATAGGATATTATCTTCTAAGTTGGTTCGAACGTGAGTCGTGATTTTTATATAGAAAGATATGTATATTAGTTCATTGTTTTCTTTTTTTGTAGTATTAGCAATAMAATTTTGGAATCTCGCTGAAGGATAATTGGTAAATCACGTCCAGGCATTTTCTTCTCTATTGTCCAGCTTTTGAAAGACTGAGGATGAAACAGTGATGGTACATAATTTTTTGRAAAATCCCCACCAAAGAAGAAAAAAATCCCCACTTTTCCCTACGCTGTTTAAAATWTTTCCCCACAAGTTTTACAAGTCATTTTTTTTTACCAATCAATCTTACCAATCATTTSTTACAATATTAAAAGAAAACAAAAAAGTTTGACCTTAAAGTACAAAAGGTTAGACATTTGGATCATTTTTAATAAAATTAAATATGTATAATACATAAAAGTATATTATGTGCACCATTGCCTTGTATGTGTACACATACATATATATATATACAAATAAAAAAAGAAATTCATTTCATTTAAATACATTTCATGTTTTAAATTAGACTAGCATAGGTACAACAAGAATGATCCAATCAAATGGAACTAAGGCGACATTAATTTATTTGGTTAAAAAAAAACTAAACAAACAAAAACACGTAAACATATACTTTAAGCATGATGTAACCACAGTGCAAAAAAAATATTAATGATGGTCGTAGAGTTCAGATGCTGTAATTTTTTTAGATGCGATTCATTGCCCTGAAAAATGCAACAATTTAGATTTTCGTCTTGCAAAAAAGAGCGGATTATGCAAATCGAAGTTAAATTTGCATGGCTTAACTTATTTCTTTTTTTCGTACGAACATCTGTAACTATAGAAAAAATTCTTTCGGAATCTGCATTGGC